CAGCCTCGTAAACCTATACAGGGTCGCTATGAGTCGGAACCAACTCCACGGCACATAACAAGTGGGTCAGAAACCACTCACCAGAACTTAACATTGAGCCTTTTGCAATTTAGATGTTACTAACTGGAGTTACTTCAGTATGATTTACTCAAATGCCCTCTATTTAATAGACGTCTTAGCTAGTGCTCAAAACCTCCATTCTTTCTGGGATCGTTGTCCTCTATGAGGTCTAGGAATCCAGTGATGCTGCCCGAAAGCTGGATTTTATAAGGAGGAAATTTCAGGGGGAGAGGTTCTTGGTACCCATATGGGTCAAGAATTCAGTAGTTTACAGGGATTTGGGGCAACAGTGACTTTAGGGCTTTAGGTGACTCCAATCTGTATATGGGGTGGCACAAACTGTTCTGACTCAATCAACTCTGGTCATGATGAGAACACGAAGGTGATCATAATATTAGGATAATAGTAATTAAACAAACAGCAAGGCTTTCTACAAGCACCACACTTTCCCTCCATACAGTCTCCATGAAGTCTACCTCTCCTGGGCATTTATGGGTATTTTCCCACACATTATTAGTCCTGAACTCTCTATGGTCTTTTGTCTCATCAGCACTGTGCACCTGAAAAACTTTTCAGAGATTTTCAGCCTAGCTTTTAAGACTCTGACCTGAAAGTTGTCAGAAACAGCCCTGACACTTCTATTGTATCCAGAATAGACATATGCCACCAAGAAAAAAAGTGATGAAACATCAGTTTGCTTCCCTGAAATCTCATTGTTTCAGTACATCTCTGATGCTTTTGAGTAGATGGTTTAGATTTTTTATCTGGCATTTGTAATTGTTCTCAGCAAGTATGCTGTAAGCTACTCCATACTACCTGGGAAGTATATCTTTTGCTTTCCAAATAAATAGTACATTAAAACTAATTAGTCAATAATTCACAAAGCTGGATACTATCATCTTTCCTGTGCAAAAACTTTCTGGAAAAAAATTTTAACTTAAAGGGAAAAAGGACCATCAAAGCACTGGAACACAAGATCGGCTTGAACAAGGTTGGTGGTTCAAATCCACTACCTGCTCCTTGGAAACCCTATAGGGTTGTAGAGTCAGAACTGACTCAACGGCACTTAACAAGAAGAGTGGTGTAAGCTGAGATACATAAATTTCCTTTATCTTGCAAGATTTTAAGAACATTTAAATGTGCTATGGAATACATTCAACACAATGCAAAATTCAAAAAGTATAAAAGGATATAAAGTGAAAAGCCATGTTTTCACTCCTGCCATCCAGCTGCCCAATTCCCCTTACCACTGGTAACCTTAGTAATGTTTCTCCTTCTAGAGATATTTTATGCAAATACAGTAAAACCTGCAAAAGTGGGAACCTGTGTAAGGCAGAAACCTGTTAAAAAAGGAAAACACAAACGTTTTCCACTAAAACAATAGGAAAGTGGTAAAATGGCATCCTGTCAAAGGTGGAAAGCTCGCGAGACTTGTAAAAATAAGGTAGTTCTGTTGAGTTCCAGGTCTCCCTGGATTAATTCCACTGTACATATTTGTACACACATTTTTCATTTCTGGGTAAATGATTGTACATTATACACACTATTGTACACTTTGTTTTTAACTCTATATTTTAACAGTTTTCATATCAATAAGATATTTAGTATAGTACAAAATTCCATTGTAATATCATTTATCCAATGTTTATTGGAGAACAAGGTTGTTGTGAAGCTGTATTACAAACACTGCTGTAACAAAAGTTTCTGTACATGTAATTCTTCACACATATGAAGACAGCTTTAAGGAATTCTTAGAGGTATAATTGCTAAGATTACCCAGGAATTTCCAATTTTCTATTCACAACAGCAACAATAGTGTTTATTTCTCTACATGCTTGCCAAGATAAACATACACACATATAGACAAACAAGAAAACAAATATTTTTACTAATCCAAAGGGTGGAAAAATTTATCAGTATTTGTGTAAGTGAGATTGTATTAAAAAAGCTACTTTATTTCCTTTTTTGGGAACTGCACATATACTTTTCTAATAGGTTATTGGTCTTTTTTCTGAAATGATTGTTGTTGCTACGTGCTATGGAGCCTGTTTCAACTCAGCAACCCACACCAATGCATGCCTAACAGTCCACACCAAACACAACTGTTGTTAGGCTTCAGATGATTGTTGTAACCACTGTCCTCCATCTTTGTTGAAGGTCTTCCTCTTTTTACACTGACCTCCTCTCTACTTTATCAGGCATGTTGCCCTCTCCTGATAACATGCCCAGAGTAAGCAAGATGATGTCTCACTGTGCTCCTTTATATAAAACATTCTGTCTGTATTTCTTCCAAGATAGATTTGTTCATTTATCCTGGGTTGGGCACTTTAGATATCAAAGTGACATCTTTTCTATTTAACACTTTTATCATAATGTTGTTTAAAACTTCGTTTGTGAGGGTATTTGTTTTCTTTATGTTGAGGTATTATCCATACTGAAGGCTGTGTTCTTTTATCTTCATCAAAAGTGCTTCAAATCCTTTTTACTTTCAGCAAGCAAGGGTGTGTTCTCTGTATATTGCAGATTGTTTATGAATCTTCCTCCAATCCTGATGCTATGTTCTTCAGATAACCCAGCATCTCAGATTATTTATTGAGCACATAAATTGACTATGTAGGGTGAACAGACACAACTCTGACAATACCTTTCCTAATTTTAAACCACACAATATTTTCTTTCCCTTGTTCAGTTCAAATAACTGCCTGTTAGTCTGTGTACAGGTTCTACATGAGCACAGTTAATTGTTCTGAAATTCCAGTTCTTTGCAATGTTATCCATATTTGTTATGATCTAAAGAATCAAATATTGCATATTTTCAAAGTAAAATACAGGTAGACACCTCTGATATTCTCTGCATTCAGCCAAGACCCATCTGACATCAGCAATGATATTCCTCCTTCTATTTGAAATAAAATTAGTATTTAGTGATGAATTGCAACTATGTCTTGCCCAGTTTGTCAAGCCTTATTAATTTTCCTTTATGTCGTTTTTAATGCAAAACTCTTAATTTTTATGTACTCAAACTTTATTTTTCATAATTATTTTAACTTTCAGATTTTCAATTTAAGTACAACTTGATAATTAAACATTCACTTATCTTTATCTCAAAAGAAAAAAGTACTGACTGACATAAACATTTATTACTTTCTTGCAAAAAGGCATATGTGGTAGAAATAGCTAAAAGGCTAACAGAGAAATGAAAATTTACCTTAAAACCAACTTTCGTCAGGAAGATGACTTCATAGACAAGTAAGTGATTGAATGTGTAAATTCTAAGTATTGCACACCTTCAGCTGTTTTTTCCCCGTTTCTTGGTCATAGACTATTTCAGGATGATTTAATTAGATAACTTTTAATTTGAGGAATACCAATAATGTTCTACATTAAAACATAAAGTGACATTTTCAGGAAAATATTGGCTTCATGTGAATAAAAAGATTTTAGTTTATATAAACTTGGTTCTTAAATTTTTGACTAAATTTCATTCTACTAAATCTTCATTCAGAGGGTAATCACTTTTTTTTTCTGAGACAAAGCAAACTAAATTGTAAGTTAGCATTAGAATCCTACCCATAATTACCCAATCAATACTGAATCAAATGCTATCTATCAAGTGTGCAAAAATTAAGAGAAATTCAATTACAAAATTCAAAGGAAAAATGCTTAACAATGTATAAAAAATACTGACAATTTTAAACCAGAATTAGCTCTAAGATATTTTATTTTTCCATTAAATGGACAGCTAAGTAGTCATCCAAGAAATGCTGTTCAGACTCTTATTTGTTGTCAAAAGTTGTTCATACGAAACAAAAGCAGTAACAGTCTCTATGTTTTACACACTTCTCAAAGTGACGTCACTGCCTACTGACGCTAAGACAGGATAAAACACAAATAGTAAACCTTTTATTTTTGTCCATAAACACAAATAAAAGTCAGTATTGGTAAAATTGATAATAGAAGGAAATAAACACTTGGTCATGTCACAGATTTCTCAACACTGGATACTGTGATATAACTCTCTTTAGGTAAAATCCCATCTTCCTGAAAGAGCAGATTAATAGAAATGTGAATTTTCAAAAGTTAAGGTAATTGAGTAGTAACTAATTTTGATTTTCACACCAGACACTACTGTGCAAAAACCACAAAACTAAGGTGCTTTCTGTGTCATTCAGCAAAGAAAGGACACAAGGGAGAATGCTCTGCCAAATCCATCCTGGACCCAACCTCTAATCACCCATTCAGAGCCAATACTCCCAAACTGCCAACCTCCCCCACCCAGCCTCACCCCAGTTCATGACACCTTTGCATCAAGAGTCTAGTTTCCTTTCTGTCAACTTATATCCAGTCTTCCAGAAGACTCTGATTTTCTGGTTTGACGTTGATCCTAACATATTCTAAATCAAAGAAAATGCGATAATGCTTAAAATTTAATTACAGAAGGAAATTAGATTACTTTAGTGTTATGGAAGATGCAGTTCAAGTGCCCTGTAAACATGGGAAAGTACCAAAAAAACTTTAGTTGTTAAGCATGGTTTGGGTTTTTTAACTACTTAGTATACAGTATATATATACTCTAGCTTTGATTACTTGTCATGACAAAAAGGTAAGCAAAGGCCACCAACATACATTTTCTGAAAAAGGGATGGGCACGTGAAGATTTCTTAGAGTTGACCAAGGCATTTTTATATCTATAAGGATTGTCAACCTTAGGACATCACAATTATTAATAATGGAAAGGACTGGGACCCTTACTAATCACTGAGCTTTGTAGAAACGTACTAGTAATATTCTTCCATTGTAATTATACAGTCCTTTAATTAGGCCAATGAGAACAGCCACAGAGAAAACTTAGCCATAAAGACTCTATCATTAAAAATGGGAGCTAGATAAAGCTGTGAATCCAGCTTTATTAATCACAAAACACACCCTTTACTCATGCATTACTTTCTGTATCTCTGAAACATCTGAAAAATACTTTTCTGTGAATTACTAGACTGTAAGGAATGGGCCCTTTTGGATCCATTACAATTATCTCTACTAGAATTTGGCATCCTTCTTCCATTAACAGTAACAGAATGGTTCAACTGGATCTTAAAAGAAGGTTGCCAATTTTCATCTCTTGAGCCTCTCCAAGATTTTGAATGTTCTATATCAGTTTGTCTTTTGGAGCTCCTATCTTTGGAATTCTTATTTGGTCCCTTTAGCAGCTTGTCTGGAGAAAAGGATGTAGCACGTAACTGATACTCATCTGGAGATCCTTTTTGCCGGTTTAGTGCCATTTGTTCTTTATCCACCTCTTTCTGAAGTTGTAATGCTAGTAACCTGTCCTGTTCTTCTTGCTTATGTCTCTCAAAGAGTAGATGCTCTAACTCTATCAGTTTCTGGGTAAAGTTGATTTCTGTTTCGTCTTCATCTGAAGAAGCTTTGGGGCATATTTTCCTTCTCTTTGTAGAAAAGCATGGGTCCTTTCCTGCTTCAGAGGAAGAGTCCTGGTTTTTTCTTCTGGAAATATCATTACTACTCATCAGTAGGCTAGTCTCTTCATTTTTTGTCTCCCCTGTGCCATTTCCAATGTTCTGTGTCATACCAGATATACTGAGCCCACTCTCTGTTTTGCCATTAGGTGTAACGGCTGCTTCTTTAGAGTAGGAAATTCTGGCCTGAGATTCCTCATGATTCATGACAGATAACTCTTTATCAAGATTGTTTGGTCTTGTTTTGACTTCTCCTTCAAGGCACCATTCTGAACCATAGGCACGTAACTGAGGCATAGGTGCCTCTACTGAAGGCTTTGTGCCCTCTTCTTCAAATTCAAGGCATATTTGCGGGGAAAGTGTTGGCATATCTTCTTCCGTTTCTGTGTCTTGCCACATTGGGCTTGTCAAATCTCTAGTGCCGAGTTCCTGTTAAAATTTTTAAAAGATTGAGTGAACCGGGGAAAAACATCAAACATTATCATAGCTGTATTATACATGAAATATTACTAATAATGTATGTTCATTCTGTTTTAACAGTACGTTCTGGTAGCACAATGGTTAAGAATTGGGCTGCTAATCTCAAGGTCAGCAGTTCTAAACTACCAGCAGTTCTGCGGGAGAAAGATGAGGCTTTCTGCTCCTGTAAAGCCTTGGAAACCCTGTATAGGGTCACTATGGGTCCGAATGGACTCAAGAGCACTTAACATATTCTGTATGGCAATTTAGATTAAGGAATTATTTAATCTTAACTCTTACAAAAACCTACAGACTTAAACCCAGAAACTAGATTCTATACATGGCCAGTAACAGGCATCAAAATCTGACCTTTCTTTTACCTTATAAACTTTCTCTTGCCCAGTTGTACCCTTTCTATGCCACAGACCCCTTTGACAGTTTGGTAGAGCTTATAGACTCCTGAGAATATTTTTAAAAACAAGAAAAAACAAAAACAAACCCCATAATCGTACAAAGAGATAATTTAATACAATTACCAAAATATTAAAAAAAAAATTTGTGATGAAATAACGTACTTGTATTAACACATTGGAGTCCTGGTGTGACACTGTTAAGATAAGCACCGGACTACTAACTGCAAGGTTAGCAGTTCAAACCCACCAAAGACTCCTCAGAAACCCTCACAAGATTACTAAGAGTAGGAATTGACTCCACAGCACTTAACACCATTAAGACATTAAAACAATAAGATCTAGTAGTAGCAAGCCTAATAACTCATCACTTAACTTATACTCTGTCATCTATTGATGACAAAGTTACTATCAACAACTGTGGTTTGCTATCTATAATTTATAATTGAAGGAAATACTGGTAAAACCTTAAGAAGAAAAGCTTAGACGCAAATATGCCTCAAAAATAATATTACTTCCTTTTTGGAGACTCTATTTTTACCAGCTCTATTTTGTATTTCTCATTCCTGATTGCATTTCTTATGAGCAAACATGATTTGGATTGGTTAAAGTCTAAGTTGCATGCATCCTAGCTTTGCTGTGAATATGAACACCTGGGTTGGGAAAAATATCCCAGGCCTACAATATCCCTTCCACCAATTCTTAGCCCCAGTATGAATCAGATTATCTGGACCTGAATCCTCTGTCTACTATACTCTATTTGTAGATCTTTGGGTAAGTCTCTTAAATGCTTTTCACCTCAGGTTTCTCAATTCTAAAATGGAAACAAGATATCTACCTTAAGAGCTGATAGTTGTGGTAAAGATTACATAAAATAATATATACGATATGAGAGATTATTATGTCCAGTAAATGTTAAGCACTATAAAACCACTTTGCTGAATTGAAAAATAGTCTAGGGATCTGTGAGTAAAAAGCTAACAAAACTTCTTTTTCTACATAGGAAACTGACATTTGCATTGGTTCAACTTCCCCAATTCTCTGGAAACCAGAGAAAGGTGAACTATCACCTGTGTTACTGGTCACATGTTGTTATTGCTGCTAAGTGCTGTCGAGTTGGTTCCGATCCACAGCAACCCTATATAGGGTTTCTGAGGAGCAGCTGGTGAGCTTGAACAGCCGACCTTGTAAATTCAAACAGCTTTGCAGTCTGACACATTAACCCACAGCGCCACATCAAGACATCACATAGGTGACAATAAAAATGACCTCTGATTAGTGAATTGAACAGTAGTAGGAGAATTATGCAGTTTCTCATCCTATATCCCTCTAAGGAAACTGGTGCCAGGTGTAGTCTATTCAAGTATTGTGAGTTTGATTATCTAGCTCTAGGGAACAGCTACCTGTTTATGTAAATAAGGTTTTACTGGAACACAGAAATGTTTGTTTATTTATGCATTGGTTATCAATGTGGCACTGTGGGATAAAGCACTGGACCACAAAGTCAGTTTGAACCGCAGGTCAGCAGTTCAAACTCACCCGCCACTCCTTGGAAACCCTATACAGGGTCACAATGAGTCAGAACTGACTCAATAGTACTTAACAACAACAAAAATGTTTATGAGCTACAACCACAGACTAGAATACTGTGACAAAGACTACAAAGCCTAAAATATTTATGAAGAAGTTTCAAAACTCTTTAAAGGTCTCCTCATACTACCTGGTCCTTTGGAGAAAGAAGATGTCTAAGACAGGTAAGAAAGGGTACTCAACTTACTATGGTGTTATTGTTAAGTATTGTGGAGTCAGTTCCATCTCACAGTGACCCTGGCACAGGGTTTCCAAGGCTGCAAGTCTTTACGGGAGCAGAAAGTCCCATCTTTCTCCCGCAGAACAGCTGGTAGTTTCGAACTGCCGACCTTGAGGTTAGCAGCCCGATTTGTAACCACTACGCTACCAGAACTCCTTAGGCGAGGGAGTAGTAATCAATGTCACTGAATTGCACATGTGAAAAAAAAACTGAACTGGGGAACAGTTGGTTAGTTTTATTTTCATTATGATTAAAAAATAAAGAGGAGGAAGAAGTATAAGAGTATTCGATAGTACTATAAACTTGCCAAACTAAAAACACCTTCAGCATAAACACACCTTAGACATGGAGTTTTCCCGCTCTTCTTGTACAACTTCAGATTGTGATACTGACCCAAAATGAGACTTAGGTGAAAAATACCTTAAAAACAAAAAGTTGTTCAAAGTTAGAATGTTTTAAAGACAAGTGGTATATATAAAATATGATAAAGCCAGATTAACAATTTATACTTAAAAGTTGGCTAGTTTGCTGCCTGACTGATTTCTCAGAAAAAGTGTATTTAAGAAAAACCTATTTTATCTGTGTCTCATGTATTCTGTTTTAGCTCCAAAACAAAACCTTAGCAGAGTATTACAGTAAAAAAATATTATCGGGTATTTGAGGAGCTGTGGGTTTGAACCACTAACCTTGTGGTTAGAAGTTCAGTGCTTATGCTACAGTGCTACTCCAGGACCCCAAATGTATTGATTAGATGGTCTGTCACTTGGTCACACTGTAATGCCTTATGTATGCGATGCTGCTGGAAGGCATGTCACTTGTATTTTAAATACAAGCAGGGTCACCAATGACAGACAGGTTTCAGTGGAGTTCTCAGATTCAGACAGAATATGAAGGAGAGACAAACCACTTTTGAATGGTTAGCCACTGAAAACATTTATGAACAGAAATGGAACACTAATATAGTGCTTGAAGACGAACCCCTAAGGTTGCAAGGCAGTCGAATTTGGACTGGGAAAGAGTTGATCTTAATAGTGAGCATCAAAGGTTTTTGTGACTTTCATTTGCTGATGGGGCACAACTCAAAATTAGAAGAAACAGCTGCAAAAATCTATCAATAATCCAAACAAATGTACGAAGTATAAATCTAGATATATTGAAAATTGTCAACAACGAAATGGAACACATAAAAATTGATATCCCATACATCATTGGAGTCCTGGTGTGGCGCTGTGGGTTAATGTGCCAGGCTGAAAAGCTATTTGACTGCAAGGTCGGTGGTTCAAGCTCACCAGCTGCTCCTTGGAAACCCTATATAGGGTCGCTATGGGTCGGAATCGACTCAATGGCAATTAACAACAACAACAACATAGATCATTAGTGAGCTGAAATGGACTGATGTTGGCCATGTTGAACTGGACAATCATATGGTTTATTATGCTAGGGATGATAAACTGAATGGCAATGGCATTGTACTCGTGTTCAAAAAGAGCATTTCAAGATCTATCTTGAAGTACAATGCTGTCTGTGACAGGATAATATCCATGTGCTTACAGGGCAGACCAGTTAATACCACTATTATTCATATTTATGCACCAACCACTAAAGTCAGTGATAATAAAATCTAAGAATTCCACCAAATTTTGCATTCTGAAAATGATAAAAGATGCAATTAAGATGCACTGATAATTACTGGTGATCGAAATGCAAAAGCTGGAAACAAGAGGAAGGATCTGTAATTAAAATATGGCCATGGTGATAGAAATGATGCTGGAGATTGCATGACAGAAAATTGCAAGGTCAATGACCTATTCATTGTAAATAATTTTCAATAACATAAAAGGTATGTCACTGTTGGATAAGCACTGAACTGCTAACCACAAGGTCAGCAGTTCAAACCCACCAGCTGTTCCTTGGGAACCCTATCCAGGATTGCTATGAGTCGGAACCAACTTGAGAGCACTTAACAACAATACACCTAGACTTCACCAGATGGACTAAACCGGACTCAATTTGGCTACATTTGTGGGAAGACATGGTGGAAAAACGCTATTATCATCAGCCAAAACAAGGCCATGACTAGACTGTGGATCAGACCACCAACTGCTCATACGCCAAGTTCAGGTTGAAGCAGAAGAAAATTAAACAAGTCCATGAAAGCCAAAATATACCTTGAATATATCCCACCTGAATCTAGAGATCATTTCAAGAATAGATTTGATATATTAGATACAAATAACTGAAGACCAGTAGAGTTATAATATCAAGAATATCATACAGGAAGAAAGCAAAAGGCCATTAAAAAAAATGTTTCTTAGGAGCGAGAATGTGGAGACTTTGTCTCTTTTTCTTTACATAATGTTGTCAAAAGAGATCAGTCCCTAGAGAAGGATATCATGCCTGGGTAAGGTATAGGGTCAGCAAAGAAGACCGCAACAAGATGGACTGGTGCAGTAGCAGCAACAATGGGCTCAAACGTAACAATTGTGAGGACAGCACAGGTTTGGGCAGTGTTTTGTTTTGTTGTGCATAGTAAGGGTCGGTGCGATAGGAATGAACTCTAGGGCACCTAACAACATATCATGTCCCCGTCCCACCCCTGTCTCCCTGCCTGCTTCTGCTATTACTGTCTCTGTTACTGTGTTTAATTGCTATTTTGTATGTTTTTGTAGTGGTGAACCTGGGAATTATAGTTAACATCATGAATATATAACCATCTAGTTTGCATCAATACCAACAGTGGTGGTTGTGTGCTGTCAAGTCAGTCCTAACTCACAGTACAGGGTTTCTGAGGTTGTAAATCTTTATGGGAGCAGAAATCCTGTGGCGTGATTGGTAGATTCGAACCACTGACCTTGCAGTTAGTAGCCCAGTTTATAATCCACTACACTACAATAGTACACAAAAACTCTGCTACACAATTCTGTCACAGCCCAGGCCAATTCCTAGCATGCTACCACTCTCCAACCTTCTTTACCAATTTTATTTCCAATCATTCCTCCCACAGCACTTTCTACTCAGCTGGATTCAATAATTCAATGCACTGGTCACACAGAACTTAGACCCATACTCCCAGTTACGGGGTTTAGTAGGGAATTTTAACAGGTTGCAATTCAATATTAGAAATGCTCAGGGCATAGTTCTCTGTTAGGATAGACTTTTCCCAACCATGTCCGAAGGCATGCTTCTCTCTGGCTCTTGGCCTCTCCGCAAAAGGCCCTCAGTTCTAGTTCTCTGGGTCATCAAATCTAGCTCCCCGATTAAGTACTTGGAGGCACTCATTTCACAAGTGAGTCTCCTTCCCAAGGGCACTCAGCTTTACTTGCTCTGTGGGCTGGGAAGCCCACTGCTGTTTCTGGTGTCTGGCTCTTGGTTCGGCTGCTACTCCTGTTCCTCCTCTGGTGTCACAGGTGTCTTCTACACGGAGGAGGTTCAATGTGCAGGGATCTTGGGTACCAAAAGATGAGCTCCACTCTGTCTCTTCTTCCTTGATAGCAGTGAGATTCCTCTTCCTGCTTTTGATTTGGCTCATTTTAAATCCACCAAGATGGCAAAATTAACCAATCCCCTCATTAGATTGCCAAGATTTTGCATTTTTCTTTCATTAATTTTAGAGAACACATTTATTCTGTCTTCTCTCCAGACTTGTCCACCTTCCCAGGACTCACTGTCCTTACTCCCTTATTTCTTCAGACTTGCATTTATCTTTGAAATCATATAGAAAAAGAGAAATTACAAATCCCAAACACAGTAATACAGGATTTTATGTTTATCTATATAAATTACCTTTAATGATACTCTGCATTGTTTCTTATGGACTCAAATTACTGTTTAGTGTCTTTTCATTTCTCTCGGAAGTCTCCCTGGAGTGTTTTTTGAAGGGTAGGTCTATTGGTAATGAACTCCTCATCCTTTATTTATCTGGTAATATCTACATTTTGACCTCATTTTGAAGGGCTGTTGTTAAGTGCCATCAAGTCGATTCCAACTCATAGCGACCCAGTATAGGGTTTCTCAGGAGTGGCTGGTGGGATTTCCTGAATTCTTGGTTAAGAGTATTTTCTTTCAGAACTTTAAATATGCCATTTCACTGTGAACTGGTCTCCATGATTTCTGATGAGAAATAGGTTATTATTTTTGATGATTCCTTGTATGGGATGAGTTGCTGCTATTAAGATTCTGTTTGTGCTCAATGATAATGTGTCTTGGTGTGGATCTACTGTTTTCTATCCTACTTGGAGTTTGCTGAGCACACTGGATGTGTAATCTTTTTTTTTTTTAAATCAAATTTGGATTTTGGTCATTATATCTTCAAATATTCCTTCTGTTCCCCCCTTTCTTCTCCTTCTATGATTCTTATTTATATCTACGCATTCTTTTTTTTTTTTTTTTAAACTTTTTATTGTGAATTAAGTCAGGGTTTACAGACAAGATTATCAGTTTTACATTCAACTAATCATATATTTTGTTTCATCTCAATGATTGCAATCCCTACCATGCAACAAGTTACCCCACTTCCTCCCTGTGCTCCCTATTTTTATTCACCGCATCTCTTCTCAACTTAGTCCTTAGGTAAATGTTGCCCTTTTGATTTTGAATGACTGACCATTCCCTGGTGCATATACCTTACTAGTGCTGTCCCCTCTATATACCTATCTACTGCATGGCTAAACACTGGGCTACAAGGGTGAGATCCAGACCTGGTGTCTATGTATTCTTGATGATGTTGCACAGGTCTCTTAGTCTGTTCAGTTTTCTTCAGTCTTTTGTTTTTTTCTGTTCCTGAAACTGGATACTCTTTTTTCAATTGGCCTATCTTTAAGTTTATTAATTGTTTCTTTCTTTCTTTTTAAACAAGCTTTGGCCAGTTTCATTAAAGAAAAAAAATGGATGATTTATTTTTCACCAGTTTGTTCTGGCATGCTTCTAATGATAATAGGAATCACCTGGATCAATGATAGTCAGTGTGCAGACTCTAGTATTTCCCGCACGCTGTGCCCAGTTCAATATTATTGCCACTGTAGTGATGGACACCGGTTTTGGCCAACATGACGTAGTACTCGACCTCGGATTTTCTCAAGGCCGGACAGTCGTTGGCGAGGATGACCAGCTTCGCTTTGCCTTGCTGGATCATCTTCAGAGTCTGCTTGTAACCCAACATGTATTTCCCGCTTTTCATAACAAGTTGGAGCCACAAGTTGATCTACTCCAGCGAATTTTTTGTCTACTTTGTGGCCACCATCTTCCTGCCTTAGGTGTGTGATGGCCCCCAACCAAGAGCAGCCGCCAAGATGGATGGGGAGGGAGAAAAAAAAAGGCCATTAATTCTTTACAGAATTTCCAAAATCTGCTAAAAACCTTCTAGCAAATTTTTCATTTCAATTATAGTTCTCAGATTACTAATTTCTATTTTATACCTTTTT